CATTTGTCTTTATTACAAGCAAGATCTGAGTTGTATTTTTTTGGTCCAGTTGTTTGTTTTGTTAAGGTGATCTGTAGGGATTTGGGGTACATGAGACATCCCTTTCTGTGTACCTAAAACATGACTCAGCTGCACCACAGCCCTATCCTGTATGTACATGGTTAAACCTAAATTTAATTCCACAAGGTGGGATGCTGAGCCTTTTTCTTTTGTAAGAGCATAAGTTCATATCCAAAAAGCTGTTAAGTTGCTTTGGGATATATGATAAGGAGATTTCTTAGGGTAAAGGAAACAATGCAAAGAACTCATTTCAGAAACACTGTTCTGAAAGTAGCATTGGATTTAGGGTTTGCTGTCATGTATTAATTGTGTTCTGGCAGTTTGCTGAGAGACTTTATTTCCTTGAAATAAAAATATTTTAAAATTATTTGCTTTAAACTTGACTTCTGAAATCTCTTTCCTGAGTGCCAAATATTAATGTTCTGTTTAGCCATAAGTTCTTATAATTTTTTTTCAGAATATAAATTTATATTTCTGAACTTTGGAGCGGGTATTTTGGTTCGTTTTTTTTTTAAAAAATATGGTGAGTGATTGTTTAAATCTACCCCCTGAAGATTTAGCCCTATACACTTCCATTTTGCAGAACACTAGGTGTTGAATTTTGGACTTCCCCAAACATGTTTGATGCCTTTTATTGCTCTTGAAGCACTGGTGTGCCCTCTTGCCCCCTCTTCCCTGGGGATACTGTCACCGGGATCTCCTTTGTGTGTTTTGTTTTGTTAATATGTTTGTTTGTTTGTTTCTTCCCCCAGAGGCAAGAACATATTTCAAGCTAAGAATGTGTCTTCAGGTTTGTTTTTTATTTAACTGGAATTAAGGAGACAGAAGGTCTATTACTGCATTATAGTCTGTACCCCAAAGATTTAATTCCATGGGCTAATAGGACAGACAAACAATGTGTCTAGCTTAAGAAAATATACGAAGGCTGCAAGCTTTGCACAGTTCTATTTTTAACTAGTTCTTGAATGGTATATATAGCAAATTTTGGTTGTTTATTAAGGTTGCCCAAGATACGACAGGTCAGAACTGGGGCAATAAAAGTTTGTATTTTATTTGTTTAGATCTTAAGGCCTGTGACTTTTGTTTTCAAACTAACAATGATAAGCCAAGATTGGAGTCAAGGTCAAAGCAGTAATTTGTGTTTCTCTTGCTTTTTCTTGGCTTCTGCTCACTTAAGGAAGTCTCAAGCTGTGTGTTTAGTGGAGAGAAGTGTTGCTGGGCCACACAGGGCTGAATCAGACATAAACCTTGTGCCCCTCGAAAGGGATTTAAGTAAGGAGTGGAGTCCCAGCAGCAGCTGCCACACACCACAGATCCTTTCTTACTGCCTCCAGAGCTGGAGCAGACTCTGATTCACACATTGACACGGCTGTGACTCTTGTGTTCTCAGTTGTGTTCGTCTATTTATTGTGTTTACTGAAAACAAAGCGTGTTCTGTCTTCGGAGTGGAAGTAGCAAATTCTGCCTGACAACAGGAAGCTAGAAGAGCTATAGGACTGGGGACAGAAGGGCATCCCAGGGAGGCCGCAGTCCCGGGTTGGAATTCGGAGATGTGGAGCATACAGCTAATGTGTCCCAATTCATCCTGCTGCGTGGGGACTGATTTCCCAGGCCACTGTGAGATACACAAGTGAGTGGTGTTCTGCTCTGCTCTATGCAGAGCTGCTGAGTGCTGTTCTGAGTAACACTGCTGTGGTGGGATTGATGGAAATTTGAGCTTGCCTTTCCACTTCAGGGGGATTATTTTTGGTTTATTTTTTTATCTTTTTATAAAAGCAAAGAAGGAAGATGTCTACAATGGTGCTGAAGACAGTTGGTTTTTATCCTTTTCATTCACAATCAATTTTTGTAAGAGATTTGGATTGCAGTTCTCCAAATACAAAAGTAGTTTTAAACTAAGGAGAACTTGTGTAATAGCAACTTACTGATTTAATCTTTTTTCTCTTCCTCCTCTAGATCAGCATGCCAAACTGCTAGCATAGCAGCAGACATTAGATCTGAAATACATTTTAGAATAGTTAATTCTATATTTTCTTTTTCCTTTGTAATCTCAGTCTGTCCAGTTTTTAGGTGCTTGGCATCCAAGTATTTGGAAATTTTTTTAACCTAGTTTCTATTTCAAGTCTCCTTTTCAATCTGACCTTATTCATTTAGCATATATGCGTCTGCAAGAACTGGAGAAACTGCTTTTTCATTGTTTGGCAATCACAGTCCTGCTCCCTTTTCAATTGCAGAGGAGAAGGATTAGGCAGCAGCGGCTACAAGTCATGTTCTGGGGATTGCATCAAGATGTACTTGGCACAGCTGGAAAGTCCTGCTGGCACAAGGCAAATCTTGGCAAGATATGAGAGTGTTTTGCCCTGTGTTCTGTGCAGTTACAGCAGTCTCTTCTGCAAGCTTTTGGGGATGTGATGATTTTTTCCCATTCAGGACGTTCGCTGAGGGTTTATCTCACCTCAGATGAAAGAAAACTTTGTGCCCTGAACACACCGATTAAAACTGGCAAGAGTAGCGCAAGCACTGCATCTCTGGAGCCTTCTGTGTGTGGAGCAGCAGCCAAGCTGTTCTCCCTGCTTGTTTGCATTGTTCAAACCAACATGTTTTCTTTGGCTCTTGGCTGAGTACAGTTAACAAATAGATGTTTTGCCCCTGAAGGAGAGGTTTGTTTTCTTTTTTGCCTGCTTAAGCCACTCTGAAGGTTACTCTTGAATACAATTTATTATTATCTAAAACAAGTCTATTTATACAACAGCACTTTAAAACGCTTCTATCTTTTGCTTTCCTGTTCAGATGTTAAAAACTACTTTAGTTTGCTGTTGCAAAAAAAAAGAGAATTCCAAAAATTGTCTGACTCAATTTCGTTTTCATGCATGAAAAGGGAAATGCCAAGGAAAATTAAGTGGTTTGGTAATCCTCTAAAACCGAAGGGATTATATTTTCTTCCTGTTTTCTCTTTTGTAGAAACTTGATGTTAAAAAAAATCATCGTTCTTTAAGTTTAGCAAGAAGAACTCCATGTTAATTCAGCGTTCAGCAGAGTAATGTTTCTTGCTTATAAGGAAAGATTTATTCTGGTTTATGGCTTCTGTAGGTCATAGTTAATATTTAGATTTGCAATTAAGTAGGCATATCCAGATGCAATGCACATTAAAGTAGGAGCACAGTGAGCTTACAGAGCATGTCTGTAGAGCTGTTTCTTCACAGTTATTTACAGCAATATCTTGCTTCGTTTTTTTTTGCCAACCGTGTACAGTTTTGGAGATTTAGGTAATTATATCCCTTCCTAAATTATGACTATGGCAGAACTAACTTTCCATGCTTTTGTGGGTGAAATTGGAAAGCAACTGAAATGTTTTAAAGTCACTTAGTGGGTTGTGTAATATTTCTGTTGTACTTAGTCCAGTAGCCAAGTTTTTAAATCCCAAGTTCACAGTCTTATGAAGTGTTTAGTCACATTATTATGCCTCTTGGACACCTTGTTTGAAATTTGCTTTGGATGTTGCTGCAGCCAAACTGATAACCCTGAATTTTTTTGCGGCTGCTTTTGTTTTGTCTAAAAACTTTATGATGAGAATGCTTATGTGTGCTCTGTTTTGGATGTATAGCTAGTTGGGTAATCACCAAAGACAGGACTTTATTGCCTGTTTTTATGGACTTTATTTAGTCAAGGAGCAGTTTGGTCAGTTTTCTTGTGGTGCTAAATTGACTGAGAGAATGATTGTTTTGTTCTCTGAAATTGTCTTTATAACAGTGCATTTCTCTGTATGCTTTCACTGGGTGGCTATTTATGGTGCTAAATGCCTGAGAAACACAAGTGTAATAAATACTTTTCATTGGTATTTTGTATTAGTGACTTTTTTAGCTGTAGTTTGAGGTGAAAGAAAAGAGCAGTGGTGTGTACTGTTTTCCTGCATTCTGCTACCAGATTGATAGATTCGAACCTGATCTCTCTGCTGTTTCTGTTTACTGTATATGGCATGGCAGGGGATGGCATCAGTGTTGCTATTTGCCTTCATCTGCCACATCATTCTTAGGAGAAGGCACTAGTTTCCCCAAGGGCTGTCCTCTGAGTTTGGCATGTTCATCCCAGGGCAGCAGGTAGCAGCGCTCCCAAGGACCTGGAATCAACTCATGTGCTTTTAAGTAGGTAATTAAATAAAAGTCTTGTCTTGTCTTGGTTCCAAACAGCAAAATTGCCTTTGGTAACCATGCCTGAATACCTGACTAAAGCCCTGTTGAACATGTTACCCAAGGATGTCCAGTTTTGGGCCCCTCACTTCAAGAAGGACATGGAGGTGATGGAGTGTGTCCAGAGAAGGGCAACAGAGCTGGGGAAGGGACTAGAGAGTTAAGTCATGTGAGGAGCAGCTGAGGGAGCTGAGGATGTTCAATCTGGAGAAAAGGAGGCTTAGGGGAGACCTTACTGTTCTCTACAGCTACCTGAAATGAGGTTGTACCAAGGTGGGAGTTGGCCTCTTCTCCCAGGCAACTAGTGACAGGACAAGAAGAAATGGCCTGAAGCTGTGCCAGGGTATTTCAGGCTGGACATCAGGAAGAATTTTTTAACCAAAATGACTGTCAAGCATTGGAAGGGGCTACTGGTGGAATTGCCATCCCTGGAAGTGTTCAAGAAATGAATGGATGTGGCACTCAGTGCTGTGGTTTAGTTGGCATGATGGTGCTTGGTCAAAGTTTGGACTTGGTGATCTTAGACATCTTTTCCAGCCTTAATGCTTTTATGAGTCTCCTGCTCTGCTTTCTGTGCATGCAGTGTGTGCCGGATTGTCAGATTGCACACTGAACATGGAATAGATCCATCACTAGCAAGATGCTATTTCCTGTATTTTTCTGTTGCAATGCAAAGATAAACATGGTTAACACTGACTGATGTTAACAGATGTGTCCTGACTGAAGGGAGCCTGTTTGTTTTGCACATTTCAGAAATATGGCTACACACACCTTTCTGCTGGTGACCTCCTTCGGGATGAACGGAAAAGGCCAGGCTCACAGTATGGAGAACTCATCGAGAACTACATTAAGGAGGGGGAAATTGTACCAGTTGAAATAACAATCAGCTTACTGAAGAGGGTAAGGAAAGGGTTATTTCTTTGCTGATTCACTTTGTAGACTAAGCAGCAAAGCAGTGGCTGTGTTCTGGAAGAACTGCCTTTCCTCTGGTGTGAGCAGTATGAATTGGCAGACATGTCAGTGCTTCTCTCAGCAAACACTTCTGTTTCCTTCTGACTGCTGGAGAGCAGGAGGTGATGGCCTCTGATTTTATTTTATTAGTAGGTAACTCAGTGAAACTGTATTTCTTTCCCATCACTAACTTCTGGACCTCTTGCCCAACTGTCATACTGATCGGAGGGCAGAGGCCTTAAAGGCACTAAGATTTGTGATTTTTATCAAAGCAGATAATCAGGGGAAGGAGAAGAGCTCCTGCTGGTGTTCTTGTGGAAGGAAAAGCTCCAGCTTTTGTCTTTTTTTAGATGTCCATGAAAACAGTGAGAGTATCTCCTTTAAGACAAAAAAGGCTTCTGTTCATGGCGCTATATTTTTCTGGAGCTTTTCTCTTGGTATTAACTCTAGATCTGAGATGTTTTCACATCTTACTGTGTAAAGACACTTTCCAGTACCTGTAGAAAATCAACTTTAAAGGTGGGGTTGTGTTAGGAGGTTTTAAGCTTTATGAAATAATGGATTCAGTTTGAGCAATAGCTATGTTAGTGCACCGATGAATTAATTAGCATCCATCCATTAAAGGAGAAACAAACATGTATTTTGTAAGTCTGATAGAATCCTAAAACAAACACTCCTCAATTTACCATGTCACCGTTTTGGGGGCAAATTAATAAGTAGATAAATCAGTGTATGTGCAGGAGATCATGAATTAAATTATCTTTTATCAGGCTATGGATCAAACAATGGCTGCCAATTCCCAGAAGAACAAGTTTTTGATTGATGGATTTCCCAGGAATGAAGATAATCTTCAAGGCTGGAATAAGACTATGGATGGAAAGGCAGATGTTTCCTTTGTTCTCTTTTTTGATTGTGACAATGAGGTAATGATGTGTGTTGTTCTGGAACTTCCTTTCTTGCAAGATTGTGAGAATCATTCAAGGAGACCAATAAAACCCTGTCAGGGTGAATGGACCTAGTTTAAGAGTAGGAGGAAAACTTGGCCTGTGAGTTTGAAGGATTTTTTGTGTACTTGTTTTAGCAGATGAGAAAGCTGCATGTTACTGAAATATCAGCTAATGGCACTTGGTGAATCACGTGCAAATAAATGATATCCAAGAAGTACTTGGGGCAATTGCATTCTTAAAGGAAATTTATCACAACTTTAAATACATTTTGAAAAATCACTTGGTTATTCTTCAGGAAATATTACTGTGTTTACTCTTAGTGACTTCTTGTTTAGTCCAAAATGATCTTGATACAACATCTGCTTTAATTCTGGAGTGCAGCAGCAATCTTTATTTTCATAGTTAGGAGGTGTGCTGTAGGATAATCAACATTCCATACAGCTAGTCATTAGATTACAAGGGCATTTTGACAGTGACACATTAGATTCATTTAACAAGTGCCATGATATGCTGTCTTTTTAATATGTCAGTGCCCTTGAGGCACAAAAACTGACATGAGAATCCCAGCATCTTAAGCTGACTATTTTCCTTTTCCCCAATTTCCTGAGATTTTTACTTATTGGCAAGTATTTTGTAATCTTAAAGAACACGTGTGGGATTATTTTTTCTGTTCGAAAATTTAAATAAGATTTTTTCACTTATGTTAATTTTGGGGTTATAATTTTTTTTACTAGATGTAAAAATAGACAATGCTTACATTTTTTTTTTAACAATGTTTGTATTTTGTAGGAAAACCCCCCAATTTTTAACCATTGTCCTCCTGCATGAGTAGGATACATGTATTCACAAATGTACATGTGTCATCTTCGCCTGTTTCACTTTAGTTTTAAAAACTTAGTTCATTGGACAGCTTTTAACTATAGTTAGTTCTTCATTTTTTTACTTAGATTTTGAAGTTTTCGTTATAGCAGTGTCAAGTAAGAACATTTTAACTGACAGTAATTGGTATTGTCAGTTTGCCTGAGAGAATTCTTGGGAGAACATACAGTGCTTTTCTTTCAGTGCAGGCATATATTAGTAGTCTTATTTGCTTTCTAGAAAGCCTGAACACATCCTTGAAAATCAGGTCATTTTCTTCTTGGAATGTCTCAGGTTGGAGAACCAGTCAAAGCACAGAGTTTGATGCTGCTTTTGCTTCACTGACCCCAATCCCAGTTTAATAAACTGATGAAGTGTAAAGCTGTCATCCTTTTTCTCTTGAAGAATCTAAGTTTGCCTGTAAATTCTGGTTACACCCACCAGATCTGGTATTTTGTGTGTCATGCCTAGTTGGATTTTCAGGATTTTTTGTTCCTGCTTTCAAGATGGCACCTTGTGCTCTTGGTTGTGATCATCCTTTTGATGTGTTTTTTCTGTAGATCTGCATTGGTCGCTGTCTGGAAAGAGGCAAGAGCAGTGGCAGGAGTGATGATAATCGGGAGAGTCTGGAAAAGAGGTACCATCTTCAAAACTTTTGAGTTCCCTTCTGTTCATATTTCACTATGTAATGTGGGTTTTTTTCCCATGTGCTTTCTCCTAGAATTCATACATACCTGCAGTCTACTAGGCCTATCATAGATTTGTATGAGAGAATGGGGAAAGTCAGAAAAGTGGATGCCTCTAAATCTGTTGATGAAGTAAGTATGTAAGCCAAAAACCATGGAGATGACAGGGGCAGGGTACATATTTCTGGCATTCCTCTGAGGTGTGTGTCTGTGTGCTTAGTGTGCTAATTAAGCACTTGTGTGTTACCCAGGGAGCTGTGGAACTCTGGTTTTGACTCTTGAAGAACTGAATATATAGTGAATAACTTCAGGGAATTGATTAGTTCTGCTTGAACATGAGCTGGACTAAACATATTTTCAATGTTTCTGTGTTTAACAATGACTTGCTTTTTTCATTTTCATGAGCTTTTGCTCTTCTGAAGTTGTATTGCTCTACTGTTTCCCAGAATTGATGCCAATTTCACTGTTAAAGAATTAATGTGGATGTTCTAAAAAAACCCCACCCCATATATATTTTTAAGACTGTCAGTTACTGTTTATGTTGGTTTAACTTGAAGCAACTGTTTGACTAACACTTCATAAAATTAATATTCTTCTTTATCATTTTAGGTTTTTGAAAAAGTCGTACAAATTTTCGACAAAGAAGGCTAATTCCCAGCTTGAAACTTCATTAAAACTTGTGCTTGAATCTTGCTTGAATAGCTGCTACTGCAGTCCACTCTTTATAATTAAAAGGTTTTTTTATTGTTTTTCACATATCTAGTGATGATTGGATAAGCAGTTAATTAGAAATGGATCTGTTTTTTAAATAGGGGATAATTTCTTGTGGCTATGGTCTACAAATTTCAGGGGTTTTCATTAGTACTAGTTCAGTTACTCACATGACAAAATCACAGTTAATACATCTTTCAGAAGACACTATTTATTCTGTGTCAGTTCTGTGCCTGTCGTGGGCAGCCCTTCTTAATCCTTATTGCCATGCACCCGTTTTTAGATTCTAAGGATCAACTGAACAGCAGCATTAAGCAATGAGGGACCTGTGTGCCCTTGTTTGTTTTCTGTATGCTTGGACCAAATTTACCAGATTTCAAATGATAATTTTGTCACAAAATTTCCTGATAGCCCCAAACATGAATTCTGTAAGTCAAGCTACAGTTAGTATGAGAATCTGTTAAGGCTCACAAAACCATTTAACATGTTGTTCAGCATAGGCATGTGAAGTACTTTATGGACAGTGGTACTTTCTTGTCACTCTGGATGTAATGGTCTTGTAAGTTCTTGAGTACCTGGATGACATGGCCCTGGGCTCTACCTGTTTTCATTGCAAAATGCTAAGAAAGTCAGGTCAGTATTTTGATACTCATTGATTTTAAATGGTAGTTATACTCCTAATTAGAGCATGGTACAAGGTGGCAAAGCTCTTAAATAATGTCCAGTAATCAAAATCTTCTAACAGTTCTGTCTTTTGTACCAAGTGGAAGGGATTTTCTGTATTATTATTGTTATTATTGAAAGACTGTGTTAACGAATGCTTTAAGGTTTGTTACCCGGGGAAATATTTTTATGGTTAAACTAGTGAATTTGTTTCCCAAAAATGTGTAATTTTAATAGCTGTTTGCTTAAGAAGATTGTAAATTATTGCACTTTTGTTACGATGTGGTCTGCTGAGGGGGGAAAAAAATTTCATTCCCTGAAACAAATTGAGTCCTCTTCACCATGTTCTCTTGAATTAGCCAAGTACAGTCAGCAGCAATAATTGGGATAAGCAGAGAAGTAGCTGAAACAAACTGGTTTAGATGCTTGCACAGATGCAGTGCAATTTTGTCTTTTATTTAACCTCTTCTCTCCCTTGTGTGGTATGCATAGGTCTGTGGGGGCCCAACCAGACATTCCTTGCATGCCCTAAGCTTTTACTGAAGGCTTGAAGATGAGAGTTTTAACTTATTTTAGTGATACAGTGGCTCTTCCTACATTAACTGATGCTACAATTGGTTTGTGATGTGCTAATAGATCTTTCAACTTACAGGGAATTGCAGTTTGGAAATCCTGATGTTCAGCTTTTCTTTAGTGATGACTTTCTCTCTTTAGGAAAAGGTTTAAATTAAGCTTAGATTCTAATTAGAATCAGATGTGTTGGTCCTCACCCTGCAGTTGGATCTGTGCTGGCAGGTTTGTGTTTGCAGGAATTCTCATCTTGCTGAGGTTCTTGGAGCTGCTGGAATGGGGAAGAAATGGGTAGAGAAACAAAGGGTAAACTACAGCAGCCTTTCCAGTCTGGCAGAAGTGAGCACAAATAACTGTTTACTACTGCAGAATATATGGACCATGACTGCTTTTGTGAGTGTGGGAGGCTGATGCTTTCGCTTCGTGAATTTCCCCTTAAAAAATAAAAAAATAAACCATGGAATTTAATTCTTACTGTATAAGTACACTGACATAGGATCCAGGGAAACTGGATGTTTTGATATGAAGATTAGAGTCAGGGTTTTTAAAAAAAATACTTCAAACAGGATTCTTTAATCCAATTAGAGAGTTAATTATCTTTTGTTTCTTTGTTACTGGTTTTTACAAGTTCTATTCAGAACAGTGTATCCATTTTCTCTCATCATATACTTTCCTGTATATTTGAGTGCTGAAACAAAAAAAAAACAACTTTGGAGCAAGTTTTAGAGCAAACCAATGTTTTGGCAATATTGAATTTGGAGTGGATTGTAATGTGTCTGTGCAAAGAATAGATTTTTTTGTCATTTTATTTATTGAAAATGCCATTAAATGTGTTACCACTTCTTTCAAGTTGGACTTATAATTGAAATAAAGATTAAAGGCAATATGCCAATGTGTTGTGTCCATTTAGCAGCAAAACTGTCTGAAGAATTTGAGGAGATCCAATAAACTTTGTTGTGTGGCTTAATGAGTTCTTGGCGTACAGTTGTCTCTCACAAGGGATATTTTATATGGAGTGAGTATTTATTAGTGTTGGATACTTCACGTGGCTGCATACACATAGGTATGTGTATAAAACTTCAGGTTTTGCCATCCAAACTGAAGTTGCCAAGACTCTGTTAGGCACAGGATGAGATCAGGCAAATGCCTGTGGAATTGGTACCTTTGCTTGATTATATAGATTTATCAAATTACTCTATTTGTGTAGTTGTGCAGTGATAATTCATTTGGCACATGTATGAAAGAAAGGGGACTTGAAGTGGTCTAGGAAACACAAACCTATTGTACAGCTGCTGTTGGAGATGCTTTTTGTCTTGATTTCTCATGCTTTCTTGCTCAATCACCAGCTGATCTCCTGAATGCCATTCTGCTGCTTTGCAGCACATACCTATGTGCTGTACTCCAGATTGTGTTCTTAAAGGAGATTGTCACAGCATAGTATTCTTTATAAAAGAAGCTGAGAGGTTGCCAGGCTTATTTAAAAGTAACCCGTTTCATGTACATTTTTGTCACACAATGGGTAGTTTTGTCACATGGGTTTTCAATAAACAACATGTTGAACTTAAAATCAGAGAATCATTTAGGGAAAAGACCTCTAAGATCATCAAGTCCAACCCTTCCAGCTTGAAACCTTACTCTGGAAAGATTTGCAGAGCTGGCCTGAAAGGGGTGGGAAAAGCAGAGGATTTTCCAGCAGTGGTAGGTATCTGCTGGTAAAACTACAGAGATCAAACTTTTGCTGTAACCTCACCCTGAGGTTGTAGCCTCTCCTCAGGAACTGGCAGGCACAAGGCTCACCATCAAATTGGCACCTTTAGGACAGAGCTTTGCTGTTAAGTCTCCCACTGTGGGAGTCAGGGCAGGCAGAGAAGACCATAAGCATGCAGTTGAGGATTGCCTCTGTGTAAGAGACTCCCCACTAGCAACATTTGTCCTTGAGAAGAAGAGCTGGCTCATGAGGGAGTTCCATGGTCTTGTGGAAAATTCTGTGTCTTACAACAGTGGGGGCATCTGTGTGCTGCTGACCAGGCTGAACTAGGAGAAGGGGAGAGTTAAATGGAAAAAAACCCTCAGTTCAGACCAGAGCTGCCAACTGTCATTACCGGTTGGCAGTTTCTAGCTGCCAAGCACTTAGGAAAGTTGCAGCTTAGGGGATTACTTTTCTGCTTAGTTTGAGGTTCAATAGGAGTTCGGTCCCTGTTGTGGCACAGATGTCTCTGAAGGCTACGGTCTGTGATGACTCTGCTGGCCTCCTGCTCAGGGGGGCAACACTTGGCTCCTTGGCACGATCAAGTTATTCCTTCAAGACGTGGTGCAGCAGGATTTGGACACCAGGCACCTGGAGCTGTGCCCTTGCCACAGTCCAGAGATCCTGAGTTTAACAGCTAATAGTGAAAACCAAGACAATGCAAAGAGGATTCGTCTGATCAGGTAACAAAGGAGACAGTAACAAAAATACTAATGCTTGGTTTCATATAGCAGCAGTGTGCACACTCTTCTGATCTCCACACCTTTATAAACCCTTCAGTGGAGATACGGGAGCATGGATGAATTTAATCTTGCAGCTCTCTGCTATTTTTCATGGATTGCTTAGTTTAAGATGGTGGTTTTCAGCTTGTGGTCTGTAGAGTATTTCTGTTGGTAACAATAGGCGTCTTTATTGAGTCTTCTAATCTGCTCAGCTGAGGTATGCTCTATCCTCTTTGCTTTCTGCCTTTTAATGCCTTTTCCTTACCTTTCTGAACTGCAGATGCTCTTTGGAATAGGGAAGGGGGTGCTCTTACCAATCTCTGTGCCTTGCAAAATAAAGAAAAATCTTTAAATACCTTCAGCTGAAGCAATCTGAACCTGATTCTGCCACAAACTTGGCACATAAGCTGTTACAAAACTGATGTAAAACACGTTGCTTTTTTTTTTTCTTTTCAGCTACAGAAAATCTCTGTGTAGTACCACTGCTCTTTTCTCCTATGTAAGTCAGATCAGCTGTGTCTTTCTTGCTGAGCAGCAGTTGCATGAAAAAAAATCCACAATCACTAGATGTTAGGCTAGCAATGACCAATTAGGTATGCTTCAATGGAGGCAAGTGAGGTGGTTTGGAAGGGAGGGAAGTTACTTAGAGAATCTCAGCCAATTTTGCTTCGCTAGTCAGACTTCAGCTTTAAATACTTACCTGTTCTGCACAGCAGCAATGCATGTGTTTAGTCAGCTATTTCATGATTATGCTGTATACAAATTAATGCAAAAACACTCCCTGCCTACAAGTTTCCTGTCTCCTCTCATCCACTCTGCCACCTTGAATTCCAGGGGTTGTGCAGACAGGAATTTTTCTTCAGGCTGTAGAAACTAAACTGGGCAGGATGAAGGCAACTTCAGCCTTGCTTGTGAAGTGCAAGATGCAAAGTGTCTTTCACTGTGGGCAGCAATGCCAGGCTATTTTGTCATCCTGGCTTATAACTGCAGTCAGACAGCAAAGCAGAAATTTTCCCTCTCAAATGTTTGGCAGAAAGTTTGCTTTTGTCTAAAATGTTTCTTAAGCACTGTGTGAAACAGTCAGTCCTAACCCAAATACCAGTTTAAATTGTGCTTTTTCTTTCTAATTTACAAATAGGAGGGTTTGGACTTGTTTCTTGTAATAGCTGCTGCAGTGAGACAGCTCTTGGAAAATACAAGGCACCATCCCAAAAGATATTATCGCTTTATTCTGGAGGGCTTTTTAGCACAATGCCATTTCTGTGTGGTAAGAAATGGTCAAGATTGCTGTGTGACTACCGAAGTGTAATGAGATGGGGATGGTATGTGGAAATCTTGGACAACTTCTGTTCTCAGCATGCACTTATATTTAGTGCCATGAGATATGAAAACAGATTTTGGGATAGAATTAGATCAAGTCTTAGGAGTGAAGCTCAGTCTATCCTGGAGGTCTTCAGGGACTATCAAGATCCATCTGGGTAAATGGAGGATAGTGTGATGGTCTTCTCTCCTGACTGAGCATAGGACTGTCTCTTTAGGTTGCTGTTTGGGGCATTCTGTTGCCTCCTTCAACCAGAACCAGCTGAACTTCTCAGCTGTGATCACCAAGTATTCTGAGGTCTGTATTATTCTCTAACAAATACCTCTGTTCTTGGCTCAACATCCCCTCTAGTTTCATTTGGATATGATGGAAATCATCAGTGCCTTTATTTCAGGGGCAGGACTGGCAC